AAATGAAATTTTTGGACAAACCATCATTTTAATTTTAACACTTTTTAACACAGACTGTTGGCGACTTGCATCAACATGTTTAGGTGATTGGATCGTCTTCCAGTTTCACTTGATAGCATTAAAGCCAGATGTAATGATACCCAGAAGGCAGTGTGATCGGATTACAATCAGATCACTCAAACCTTGTTAAGAGATAGTGCTAGATGGATTTTGACTACATTGAACACGTGTATGTGGAATGTGTTTAAAATGTGTCAGGTACAAGCAGTTTGTAAGACAAAGCTTTTTTCTCTGCCAATGCAGGCAGTTCATTGCCTATTTCAAAGTTTCTTTCGTTATTTGACAGCAAATAATATGTGGTAGAAACAGTTGAGAAACCATGTTTGCTTTAGTATTTTAAATAGCTAATTCATTCAGAAGTTTAGTTGAAGTAAAATGGAAATAATGTATGTGTTGAGGTGCTTTTCACATGGCAAAAATAAATCTGGATCTCATATGCTCATGCTGGAGATGCTGCTTGTGAAAAGTGTAAAGGAATCAATCATTCAATCAATCAATCAATCAGTCAACCTTTATTTAAACTCAGAATGCATTAGCAGAGACCATTTACAATGTAGCCAAGCCAAAACAGAAATCAGGGATTGAGAAGTTGGATAGTAAAAACGGATCAAATGCTAAAAAAGTAATAATAATCATAGTAGTAAAATTTTATAGTAAAAAAAAGATAAATCATTGAACTTCTAACAGTATAGTAACTTAAGAAATAACAGATCAGATAATACAACATAATGACATAAATAAAGAAATAGAAGATGTGGGACAGTAAATTGTCAATAATAATAAAAAAGAATAATAATAAAAAGAATAAAAATAAATAAAAAGAAAAAAAGGATAATAAGTGAAACAATAGCTAGGACTGGGTATATTTAGCTACAATCTGGACTCACATTAATAAAAAAGGGTACATAAGCTAAACATTTAGCTGAAAATGTTAACATTTGAAACATGTTATACATATTTCCTTTCTATATTTTCAAGTTTTGACAAAGTTGACTCCTTGTTAAACTTTATGCTGTATGTAGCCTTAGCCCATGCTGGTTTCACCTTTATGCTTGTGCTGCAGTTGAGTGCTTCCTACCTTTTTATTCTTCAGGGTCCTGTTATGCCCTCATGTCTCTGCTTGCTATTGCAGTGGTACACACTGTCCCTAAGGGCCTTTAAAAAGTGATAAAGCTCTGGGCCAGTCCCCTTCCTGGATGGCCAGTGTGTTCATTTGCTATTCACTCTAAGCCAGACTCAATCAGTACCTTTTTGTGACTATAAGGATGACTGTGTGCATTCTCACTGACCTGCCAAAGACCACTCACACAATGAATTATACCAGCCCAGCCCAGAGCCTGTCTGCCACCCTGCCAGCAGAGAGAGCAGCCAAAACCAACATCCGCTATAGCTCATTCAAGTGAGCAACAAAAGGAGGAGACGATGTTGTCTTTATCTGTCCTTCAGCTGATGAAATAGTTTGTGCTAAGTCCAAATTAGGTCTTCCTCAAAGTTTTGTCTCTACATTTCCACATTACAGATTAGATATTAATCAGTGTTGAACTTTACAAATGCCTTAATTGTGGAATCAGTCACATCATAATTACAGATATTTTGCATCTGATTGTGTCATACTTTAGGTACAGATTTCAGCACATGCTCAAAGATGTTGGTTACATTCTTTGGAAAAGACATTTTGTCCAGACTTCCCTGCATTGTTAGTAATGATACAAAACTAGTAGGGTCGAGTCAGTATGCTAGCCAGTGCCTGCTACCTTTTGCTCAAATGAGATCCTCTTCAGTTCTTTTATTACTTTTACACATTACAAGTCAGATATTAATGAGTGCTAAACATTACAAGCACCTTAATTGCTAGTCTTTGCAGTATCAATCACATTACTAGTCATTTAACCCAAATAAGGGAATATTTTGCACCAATATTTTGCCGAAGGATGCGGGTTCTTTTAAAAATATAAACTTGCCTGCATTATTAACAGAAAGCTAGAAGGCTGCAGTTAGCATTATACTACCCAATGCTTGCTACCTTTCAGTGTCAGCAGTATAAGCCTCTTTCAGTCTTAGCAATTATGTAAACTAGGATTTATGAGTGTTCTTGTTTGCATTGCTGTGGAAGAAACTGCATTGCTCTGCATGTTTTGAAGCCAATGATGGCTGAGACTACGCCTGGATTCAGGGGTCACCATGAGCAGTCCAGTGTCAATAAAACCCAGCCTTGATGTTCATCAGACACACTCCATTTGGTAATAGCAATTAGACTTAAAGCCTGAAGCCATGAGGAGATGAAAAAGCACCATACGTGCTCTTTGGGGACAAGTTCTGTCTCGCTTTATTTCATCTGCAAATTGATGTCAACTCTCTTAGGATTTTATAGCAAGGGTTAAACTACTAAAAGAATTAGGTAGTTAAAATTGTTCTAAATGAATGCCTGCGCTAGCCGTCGTAGCGTTCTAAAACAAAACTTCTTAGCAGCAGGTTATGCTGAAGCTACTTATGTTTTTCTGTATATTTGTGAGAGTCAAGGAGTTTGAAACTCTTTCAGCTCACTGACTTATTGATGTTGATTTCCCACAAAGCTGTAAAAATATGCAACCCCACCCCTATCTGTCTTTCTCTGCCACTTGAATAGAAAGATGAGATGGGTGGGGGAGTGATAGAGGCGGTGAAAAGAAGAATGCATTGAAGGAGAGTTAATGAAAAAGTCCTTGGGAAGTACGGCAGGAAGCTGTCAGCGAGTGGGGTGATAGATAGGACCGTCACTGTTATTAGTATTCGCATGGTGGACTTCTGTACCTAGACCAGAGCCATTTGTTGATTAATTAATCAGGTAATGTACAGCATTAAAGGGATGAAAGCTGCTGGTTGGACCTTCTTTTCTTGCATAACCAAAGAAAATCGCCTGCAGTCCTTTTGACCTGACCAAGACCACCCTTCTACCAGAGCGTGTGGCCAGGGGAAGTCATTTAGCCAATGGATTTGCTCGTAAAGCAGAACAATAAACATATTTGGGGAAAAGGGTTTCCCATTTCATGAATATATTCAATTTAGCTGCCTTAAGTCAACCCTATCTGAAGTAATTCTATCAAGTTTGACTGGAAAGTTTGTTCTCCTGCTGTCTCCGCTGAACCATGGCATGGGAGTTAAAGAAAACAAACATGGCTTATGGTGGTTAGGAAGCAGCGTAACTTGGATGGGTCTTGCTCTCTGGCAATTGGCATAACCGTTTCACTGGTTGGAAATAGAAATGGATTTCAGTCAGTGATTGAATGGGGTTTTTTTATAATCAAAGTGCACCCGTGCTTTATGTGATTCGGGGGCATCATGGGAAAGCTACAGAATCAATGAAAATGATTACATTTATTGAGCTGACCAATTCGTACTCATACTTTGCAAATCCATATGTATACTGTTATCGTCGTGTCTCTACAGAGATTTCATTACTGCCATCAATAATTCCTCCATCCTTAAAATGAAACCCTCTTACACCCAAAAACATGCGTTCTTAGACGGGTGCACAAGCACATCTTAGAACAAAATCTATAGTACCATTGTAACGTTGGTCAATGTGATGAGTCTGTCAATGGCATGAGGGGATTGTGGCTGACCACAGTCATCACTTCCTGTACCCTCTGAGCCACAGCTGCCACCAGTGTGGGAAGATTCTAAAGGAAATGACATCATGAGGAAGTCTTGAAGGAGCACTGTATCTCTAGACAGCTTCCTCACTCCATGGAGCCGGATAGGGTCCAAAGGGCCTACAGTGATAATTGCCCTGGCCTGAAGGCCAACATCAAATAGTGTTCCACTGAGCGAGCAGCCAGTCTATACCACATCCTGACCTGAGACCGAAGCCTGAGGAAGGAAGAATGATTAAGATGTAAATCAGTGAATGTTTTCTTTGGAGTCTCATGCACACACACAGGCACGCCAATCTATTACTAAAATGTGGACAAAAAGAACTTCCGCATTTCTCCACTAAGAAGAACTGCACCTCCACCACTGAGATTGTTCTTAAATGTATTCTCCAGTCGTTCTACCGTTCTACCTTCCAGTTTAGTGCCATTAGCCAGAATTGCCGCCTCTCGTCAAATCTGCGGTAGATTCACTGTGTCAGTCTGTCATTAAAACCGACACACTTCCATCTGTCCCTGAGAGAGAAAGTTGCGAATGATGCTGGCAGGCTGAGTAGCTGAGCTTATTTTCCATTCTGGATCTATTTGCATCCGCCTGCTTGGAACTGATCCTCAAGCTGACAGGTCTCTGAAAGCTAACAGTGTGGATGTGGGGTTTGGCGGCAGGAGGGATGGGGGGTTCAGGAGAACTTGTTATTGAAGCGCAAGCTGTAGATTTATTTAAGCTGTAGTTAATAGGAAAGCAATGACTTGACAGAAGGAAAAATAAGCTGGTATTGAAAGTTGATTGTACTTCATGAACTCTGCTCCCATTGGTTATACTACTTTTTGCAACTTTATTTCACAGAGGGGGCATATCTTAGATGTCGCACCTGCTCAGACCCAATCTTGATAAGTCATGCTGCATGCCAGTTTCATTTCCTCAAGCCGTTTGAAGCATGTAATTAATGATAGAATATGACTTGCCCAGTAGCAGCACAGGCCTGCATAGGCTAGACAGTTTTGCTGGTGATAACAAAAGCATGTTTTAATTTTCACATTAATGATTTCTCATATGTTTACTTATTGAAACAAGAAGAGAAACTCTGTAAACTTTTAATCTGCACCACATATGTATTTGTGAGCAGAAGAGGAGATATTACGATTTGAGTTTGACAAAACGTTATCATTGTGTTACAAGCAGAAAAAATTGAACCTGTTGATACGAAATCCACTTTGAATGTTATGTAAATCGTTATAACTGTGTAAATTTAAGATTTGGACTGTATCGCAAAACAACAGTAAATCTAAACTTCTAATCCCTTTTTTCAGGTTTGGCAAGCACCGCAAAGACGAACGAACAGGAGACAAGATGGAGCGCAAAGGCTCAAGCAAGAACAAAATGGAGGATACCCAGGCCACGGAGGAGGACATGCAGAGGATGCGTCTGGAGAGGGAGAGGTGAGTGCCTGCATCCTGCTCCCACTGCCCTGCAAAAAGCCACAACTGAGCCAAAGCCCTGCTTACCTACAGAATGAGAAACCTGCCTAATTAAGTAAATGGGGGCCTAGAATAGAAGGTTCTGGGAAGGTGCTCGGATGTCGTCAATATAAGGGCCTTTGTACATTAGGGCATTACATTGATAATTTCTAGATTGTTTGTCCCTTTTGTTCTGCTGAATGCTAATGTGAACGCGCAGCCAGTTTTGGCCTGCACATTGAATAGACAATGTCTTTGTGGATGAATTGAAAGCTGTTAATTATTGCTTTGTGAGAGGTAACCTGTCATTTCCTTATCAGGTAAGCTCCTGAAGCCTTGTTTGGGAATTTGCAACTAACAGACTGTTTGGGAATTTGCAACTAATACCAATTTAAACAGGACAGTTGCCAGTGTTATTTGATTTATATTGCTCTGCTTACAAATTTTCACAGTAGTTACTGAATCAGTTATAGTACTTCCTAAATGAAAGGTTTTGAGATTAAAAACTGTGAATAGTAAGACAAATAGCTGAATAATAAGCCTGTAGTTTAAAGGGTTAATAAACATGGCACTGTTTTATCATTTGACCATGTGAATTGTTAGTTAGTTCCACTACGAGCATGAAACCATTACGATACAAGAGGATAATTAATGATCATGTTAATTACAGGAGCGCTGTCCAGTTCCAGTTTGAATCAGCCCACACACCAGCCAAACATTTGGCGGCCTCACTCGGCCTCCTGTTTAACCACAACAATGCAAATGGACAGTGTTTACATCCCGCACTTCATTCACAACAGCACAAATCCCTATTAATTTTTCACACACAAGAAGAAGACGATATCAATGGATTTCCCGTATGCTAAGAAGGCTTGCCACCCTCTATTATGCTGCAGAACCCAAATGAACTCAGTTATCAAGCCACTTTCGCTAATGGAGTGTAATTGAATAGCAACAATAGGGGCAGTACGGGCCTTCGTGCAGAGAGCACCCATGGCCTGCAGTGACAATGAGCCCAGGCTGCTCAATGGAACATCTGGAGCCCATTATCAAAGGAGCCGGCCCTGCCTGTGACGCTCTCCACCACGGGCACTGGGAATCAGGCTCTGGCCTCCAGCCCAGGACATCACCAGCTCGCTGCTAACACAGAGAGAGGGAAAGGCAGGAGAGAAACTCTGATGTATATAGATGAAGAAAAGAGGGAGGAGAAGAAGAAACAGAGAAAGAGACAATGAAAGGAGACACAAAGTAAAGGAACTTTCCAGGAGATATCTCCACTGTGTTTTCGCTCCAGGTGCCAACTGCTAAAAAGCAACAAACACCACATGAGTCTGGAGTCAGCAGACACCACGGCGCTCACATCTCCATCTCTCATTTGTGTTCCCTTTTGAGAGGCTGCATAAAGTTCATATTTCCCAGGAAGCCTTCGTAGGTTTTGTTTGTGGAAGTCTGGTGGGTTTACATTCTGGTTTAAATCGAGATTTGTTTTCCCTTTTTTTGTTTTGTTTTGTTTTTGTTTTTATTTTTCCCACCACGTCTGCTGTGCTTGAGTTTTCTTCTAGTTAATGGAAGTGAATCCTTGAGGGAAATCGTCCCAGCAATAATAATCTGCACCGCCACCGCGCTGTGATGTGATATTCAAAGCTGTGTGCCGGAGAGACTGACAGCTCCGAAAATCAATTGCAGCTGTATTTTTAGGTGTGTTATTACACGCTGAAATGCGGGTTGGACAGACGCGCTTGCGTTGGTGTGTGTGTGCGTGTTTTGGTGTGTATGAACCTGAGGCGAGAGCACTGATTGATTACAAGGACAAGGCCATTTCTATGTGCTTATGAAATTATGGATCGGCTGATGGCTGGTGTTGACGGGGAATGAATGGAGGTGTGGCAATAACAGTTGCTAAAATGAGCCATGAGGCTCCGGGAACAGGCAGAATCGGAGGGTGAGGAGCAAAAACGGGAAGGAGGACCTGGCATGTGCCGCAGCCAACGCTCCGCTCCCCTGACGTGCCTGATCGTTAATTCGAGCTGATGTTTTGACAGCGGCTTTTAGTGACTCAGAAAGAAAAGTCAGCGCGAAAGGTTGGCTGGATTAATTCTCCATAACCCGCCATCATTAGCCTATCTATTTCTGGAAGGCAAGTCGCTGCCCCGATTTTAGTGCACCTGACCTCTAAGATGTTTATGAAATTCATCTCTGCCTCGCAGAAGTCTGTGCTTTAGGGCTTACACTGGTATATTTCTAGTTGACTTAAGCTCCCCAAATCCTCTTCTGTCACTGTGGTATGGATGACAGGCACTGCAACAAAAATGAAAATTGAGGGGGGAAAAAAACACCCAAACATTTGAAAATTATCCACTAGCGCTAGCAGGCTTGATTTGGGCTGAAGTTGATGGAGTGTCGTCATCAGTGGCATTTGTTTTGCCACAATCGAGTAAATTGTAAGCAGCTGCTGCCCCCCAGTCCTGCACCGGTCCCCCAACCGCCAGCCTTTCCGTGCCTCATCAAGGGCTCCATTAAGGCCTGGAGAGGCCCTTCGCGCTGAAGGAGGAGCACGGCGGCCCTTGTGGGGGCTTTGTTTACGCCTGTAGATGTTCATAGTCCTTTCTGTCATTTCTTTTTCCTTCCTTTTTTTTTGCTTAACTGAGGGGACCACCATGGCAGGGTTCCATTCGGAGCTGCTCCTTGGGAAAAAGCATGTGGGCACAATCTCCGGGAAAGTTCTTTAAGGTTTTGAAGTCGCGCAGCTAGGGCGGGAACTGAAGAACAATGTACCTCACTTCCTTTCATCTGCCTCAGTATATTAGTGAGTACAGATCACTCTTAGACATAAAGGTTGTTAAGTGGTTCTTGGCTTACACATACAGTTTGTTATGTAATATATATGTGTGTATTTTGAAAATCTTATGTGTAAGAGTGTAGCTAATCAGGCTATATGTACACCTACGAGGCTGGTTCAAGCCTGTGCCAGCAACATGGGCCCCATATTGACCACTCAGTAGAGATCAGTGTGGTAAACATCTCCTTCCCAGCTCAGCCCCCCTGTAGCATTGCTGCTCTCTTATCTGCTAGGCTCCACTGGGCTGCTAATCAGTGGCTAGCACTCCTCCGTGTCCAGCCTTCCTCCCAAGCTTGCTGCTTCCTCCTGTTTGTTTGGATTCTTTTTGAGTGCACCCAAGCTGTGGACGCCTCTGAGCCTCAGTCCTGCTTCGGCTCACAACCGCTATCTCAACTAGCGGCTTCCTTTAGCCTCAGCAGCCCACACTAGCCGGAAGATCTACAATAAACATGTGTTTGATTGTTTGCCATTTCCATTGCTCTTACAGGCTGCTTTCTTTCTTCATTCTGTTTCAGTTAACACTTATTGTTCAAAGACATCTTTGGCCTTGGCCCAGAGTTTTATGGCTGTTTCCTCAGTGTCCGACAGCACTAAAACAACTAAAGTTCATTGTTTATTTAATAAGCGTTTGTTTTCAGTTTACAGGCCTGAGCCTCTTAAAATCCAATTGACTTACAAATTTCACGCGCCTGTTTAGTATTTTAAAGATACTTTTAGAAAAGCAATTTATTACCTAGACGCAGGCCTTCCTTCCTCCAAAATTCACTTTATTGGCTGAAATTCTGCTAATAGTCATTTGCAGCTCAGCTCTTGCCTTAATTTCTGAGATTTTGATGTCAGCCCACAACTCTCCAGGTAATTCCAAACTTTTCTATTTGATGCATTAATACATGCTAATCATGGCCAATCTTTTCCCCTTCGTAAGCGTGACAGTAATTTTGTGTTACAAAATAATTAGCTCATTATGCTTGGCAGCCTTTTGTAACATTTCGCTGTCTGACTGGACCAATTAGCATGCGGAGTTCAAAGGCAGATGACATTGGCTGATTGTGGACCTGATTACATTTGTAATTATATTGATAGTTTGCTGGTGGCTAAAAGTGATTCTTAGGCCCCTTAGATTCTGACAATTACTGCGCTGATGAAATTATATTCTAAGCACCAGAGGCGTTGTCAGATGGTTTGGATTTCTGAGTTGTTCTGTCACTTTATTGTTTTTTTCACTGCTTGTCTGACAGAACTGAGTGGGGCTGGAGGCCTGAATTATTTGGCATGGTATGTCGTGTCATATGAGTGTTATAGGAGATAAACAGGTTTGCTCAATGCTGTTTTAAACATTACTTTCTAACACTATCAAGTAGCACAACAAAAGTTGCTCAAAAACACAGTCTAACAGTGTTGAATTTAAGTAGCTGTCTCACTCTGTAGATTGCGTTAAGCATGTTAGAGGTGTGGTAAGTGGAGGGGAGGGTTTTAGCTTGATGTCTGCTGGTTTACTTGGCGTACTTTGATTAGCAGTGCGATTTATTCAGCGTGGAGAGGAAGGACTGCAGGCTAGCCCGAGTGCCATTTCCTCCTCAGCACTGGAGAGTGTTCACACTCGCAAACTTCCCCCTCCTGTTTCACTCTGAAAAAACACAGCTTTGAGCACTGCTGAAATGTTTAGAACTCTTATAAATATTCCACATGCAAGTCTTTCCCATTGCCAGACATGATGAATGTGTAATTCCTCATAAAAACAACTTTTTGAACCTTTGGGTTATGGCACGTACTTTTTTGTCTGGAACATCCATGAATGGTTTGGCAGAAAAGTTTTTGGACAAATTTCAAGCCAGTCTAGCCAACAGCCTTTTGATAAGGGAGCGATAGGAAAACTACTTAGATACGGCTGGACAGCTCCTAATGAGCTGTTATGAAGATGTGCAACATCTTATTTGTATGTAGCATTTTAGGCATTCCAGACAACATCTAGCCCGTTCTGATTGTATTATTTGCTGTTGGCCCGTTACCTAGATACCCGGCGATAGATACCTAGATACTCAGCAATGGCCTTGTGCGTACTTTCCTGTTACCATAGCGGCGTCCTCCTCCATGTGACGGTATACAGTACAGATTCAAGCTAATAAAAATCAACTCTTCATTT